AGTTATTTCCTTCAGCGACTCGGTGCAGTTACCCACTTGCGATTTATCTCACTGCAATTCATTAGCCTATAATAACATTCCATCGAAAATTAACGCCGAAGAAACAAGAGTACATTCCAATACAAACAAAAAGTCATGCACTTGAAAATGTGGAAAGGAGGGCATTTTTGTTGACAAACCGGCAGATATTGAACCACTGTTGAAAATAAGGGAGTACATTAAACATTTTAATATTTTTCTCTGCTTAATATAGAATGAGTTTATTTGTAATTTCTTGTTGTATAATCAATCATGATCGTTTTCCTTTTTTTCTACGAAATGCTCGTATTAATATTAACCTAGGTTATGGATTTAACATTTAGAGAAACAACATTGCCTGTCGGTCTCCCTCTGGTTCGAGTCTTTTAAGTGAGAAATTTTCCATAAAAGCCGATTTGTTAAATGTTTGAATGAAGTTATGAAGCTTTCTTCTCTTTGTTCTGTCCTCTCATGGTTTTATCTTAACCTAATAATGAGAAAATTTTGAATTGTACGTTACTAGGTTCCATTAAGACTGAAGCAGTCAAAAAATCTTAAGCGTTGAGCTCCTCCTCATATTTTACCGGAGTGTAGTCTAACTTATGGTTCATGAGTGCTAAAAAGCGTTACAGGTTCCACTTTGCGTACATGTCATAACTTCAAGGCAATTATTTTTCGTGATTGCATTGATTGACAGGTAACCTTTTAAGAGTTACAATGTTGCACTTACAATCTTCGATAAAAGCTCGAGGCTTGTAAATTTTCGCATTTGAAAGCTAAGCAAACGTCAATTTACGACACAGCCCTGCTTTTCCTCGTTTTTCAAACCAGATTTTCACCATCTGCTCGACCGTGATGGTCAGGACCCATTTCGGACATCGGCTCGATCCGGTCATTTTTCTCACGGGTCACTCTCTAGTTCTCTGACTCATGTGTTTGTGCGTGACGACGTTCTTGTTTGTGCACTTTCCTATTAATTCATTTCCAGTTGCGCTGCCAGTTCAGCGTTTGAACGTGCTACCGAAAGGAGAGAATTCTCAAACATTGCTTCAATCCATAGAGTATTTTTTTAAGAATCAAAAATTTCTAAAATCAATGATCGTCCTGTTTATAATGCCTAATCTCTCCGCCGTCGTGTCCTCATTCTTTGTTCTCTCAATTTCCGGATCGCTCTAATAACTCTGAGGAGGGCAATACCCGATCCAAGGTCGTACCTTTCTGCACTGTCAGAGAATTCGTTGCAGTTTAACTCAGACGAAAAGATTGCGTGAGATTTTACATCCTTGCGAAATGGTCTCAGCGAAGCTTCTTGCAAATACAAAGTCTGATGATTTCATTATAGTAATAATTATGTCCTTTATATCCAAGCCTAACATTTGACTAATGTTCCATATAATTTTATACACTTTAGCGGAATTTACTGGGTTATTAGAATGAGAATTTTTTGCATCATTTATTATTTTAGAATTTTTGCCTTA